GTACGAGATTCATGGAAGATTGTAGTTTATAACAGTAAATTCGACCTTGTCTACCATAAGGTTCATGGTGGCCGAGTGGTTAAGGCATGTCAGCGTATATGACAGTTCCGTATAGGATGCAGGTTCGAATCCTGTCTATGAACGAATATTTTCTATGAAAATTTCTCGGACATTCAGGCCGGTAAATGTTATTTAATACTGTTTATCTTAAACAGAGCATTTGCTTAAATACTTGTATCTATAAAATAACAACGTTAAACATAAATAAAAATGTCTTTAATAAATAAATTGTCGGACCTTGTCCATTTCTTAACATATATATATATATATATATATATATATATGCGGGGTACTTAGTGGAAAGTTCTCTATATGTGTGATAGAGCTAGCTCATTCAGTTGCATGGATATGAGTTTGTAGACTTGTGTTTCACGCTTTTGCGATCATCAGACAAACCTCGTCAGATGATCGCAAAAGCCTGAAACCCAGAGTTACAAAATCATATCCATACAACTGAGAATATATATATATATATATATATATATATATATAGGCCTGACGATTGAGTCCAGCATGAAACATCCTGTCGACTCCGAGTGTTGACTTCAATGTTCACTTTTATATTTATATTTACATATGCTGTATCTCTGATATTGAGCACTTTATCCCATAAATATAGCACACCTTAAAACTATATCTCTTCATATATATATATATATATATATATATATATATATATATATATATATATATATAAGTAAAATTCCGCAGGTTTTTATGTGGACATTTTTTAATTAACTCTTGAATCTGGTTTTCAGGATTAAAGGTTTTCTCCATCAAAGTGTTCTGTATCGACCGAATAATGTAATAATCGATTCTTACTAGGATAGGCCAATATGGCCGATTGGGTATCACAGACCAACCAAGTTCCCAACTTTTTTCCTGATATTCCCGTGTATTGCGACCTAGCGTTGTCATGGACAAGAATAACATTTTTACTAAACTTCACTTTACTTCGCAATATGTAAAATGCAAGGTATGTAAGTGTATTTATAATTTATTCCTAACGCCACGTATGTTTAGTACACTCGTCACTACACAACTGTGTGGTTTCCAAATAGGGAAATTTATTCTTAACTGCAATGTGGTCCGAAAGTCTTGTCACCATACAGAATGTAATTTTCTATTTCAGATGGTTGACACGAGAACCTACTGATTGGAAGAGAGGCTGCTTGCAAGTGTATGCCTTGGAAATGATGTGGGCCATGATAGTGAATAAACTGAATCCAGTACATGCGCTATTTATTAGTGTATTACTTGTTCTATTGTTCTCATTACTTTTTGGTAGGGCATGACAAGACTTTCGGACCACCCTGTATAATTCTTAGTAAGGATCATACAGTCTTCTTTGCAATTGGTTTCGAAGAAACGGAAATTAATTCTGACTCAACCTAATCACTTCTTAGGTTTCTTATTACTTGTGCCTGATGGTTATCGCCTCACAGTCTTCTCACATTATATTTCTTATCGTTTGTCTCCTGTTGTTGTTCTTCTTCTTTTTCTTCTTCTTCTTCTTCTTCTTCTTCTCATTATTATTATTATTAGAATTTCTTACTTTCTTTCTTTCTTTCTTTCTTTCTTTCTTTCTTTCTTTGAACTTCCTTTTTCGCATTTGTCTCTACAGTAGGTACGACGAATTCATTTTACACACACACACACACACACACACAAACACACACACATATATATATATATATATATATATATATATATATATATATATATATATATATAAATATCCTTACTTTATCTGGGATGTGGTTTGTTTGTTTACCCAGACTCCGTATCCAGCAGATGCGTCCTGTGTAGCAACGGTTTTTTTTTTATTTTGTTTTCATTTCGCTTTTTTCATTTTTTTGTTTGTATTTGTTCTATATATGTGTTTCTTCTTCTTCTTCTTCTTCTTCTTCTTCTTCTTCTTCTTCTTCTTGGTCCAACTTTCTTGTCTTATCTTTTATTAAGTTAAAAGTGAATCGCACATCTGTGAGCGCGAATCGCTGTGACACAGAAATAAGGAAAAAAAAGGTAAAATCGAGATGATTTTGCAGAGATAGATAGATAGATAGAGAGAGAGAGAAAGAAAGAGATTGGGGCGTCTGAAGGGGGTAGGGGTCGGTCCGACGCCCAGTACGCCTTGCACGTGGCCAACTTCGCAGGATTCAGAATCTGTTCAGACATTACGTATCCTCTTCAACGTCGTTGTCTCCTTATTCTCAGACTTAAACAAACAAAAGTTTTTCTCAGCTATTTTTTTCTTCGATATTGGCTACACACGACCATAGATTCCTTCTTCTATCTGCCGCGTCCCTTCACAACTTTGGCGATCATGACCCTCCACTATTTCCTGTCGTTTGTGGCTCTTTATAAGATTTTGTCTTCTTCTTATCTCTCCTAAACCCTGTTCTGTCATCTAATTTTCTCAAGCTTGCTAGTTAGGCAATGCGTTGTTTTCCTCCGTCATTCATGCATTCTGTTCTCTGAGCATTCATTTTTTTTCAAGCCAACTTTTCTCATTATGTAGACTAGAATTCTCAACTGTCACTTTCTAATGTTAAATATGAATGCCGTTTTCATTTCCGTTTTCTAAAAAAAAAAATTATTCGTTGCTCACATTTTCGGGCGATGGCATTCTCAGTATCCTCCAGTAGAATCACATTTCTGTTTCTTCAAGTTTCTTCATCATCTGTGAGGAGATTATTCAATATAGGAGGGCTGGTATTATGTCACAGTTCATTATTCTTTTCTTTGTTTCTGTTGTATAAAAGTAAGTGTCGTTGCTGACAGTGAGAAACACGTCGATTCCATTATTAAGTAGATCATGTAATCATAAGGGAAGTGAACAAATAGGAAGTAGCGTGATGACTACACGTTCACAGTTCACTCTTCTTGTCTATCCACTATTGCTATACGTTCATTCTCTCTACTACTATACGGATTACGATTCTCTTCTGATCATTATATTATTTGGCGATTACTACTTGAACAAGTATTACTAGTGCGAATATTATTGGAAGGTGTTACTACTATTACCGGCGTCGACGAAGTCTCGAATATAACGAGAGCTTTTGGAATTGATAACGAGATTTCACTTGACATAGAATAAGTGATAATCGAAGCCGTCACAAAAATCATAACGGTTTTTTAAATCAAAATTTAAAAGAGAGAGGAACAAAGAGGGAAAGTACTGCAAATAAGGGGAAAAAGTCATTTAAAAGGGAGATAGAGAGAAAAAAGGGGGAAGTAAAAACCATAGCGAGGGGGGTACACGAAACGTGGAAGAAACAGGATGACTAGATATACATACAAAAACGGTTGAAAATTAACATTGACATATTTAATATTAACTCTTGTTCAAATAGGAAAAAATTACACATCAAAGCTACACCTAAAAATCATGAAGGACACCTTGAGGCGGTGTAGGGGTTAGAAAGAACAGTTACGACTGAGTAGTCAGTCGTTCCTCACTGGGAGCCCCCTACTTTCGGCCTTGTGCCACATCTAAGCTAAGCTTAGAAAAACACTATATATATATAGGCATGGTGGAGTAAGGGATAGCGGCTTGGATTAAGTAATCGCAGAGCCGAGTTCGAATTCCAGTCGAATCCATTACAATCACTTACGTGCTAATACCCTTGGGAAAGGTATGGATCCTCTCACTCTCCCTCCAGCTATGGGTAAAATAGCAGGACAGACTGGGTTCTATAGCCTTGGATGACAATTGGTCTAGGAGAATGACAACTCTGAATTCAAAACCTGCGGAGAGTCGTTTGGGAACCTTGTGGCAATCGGTGCACCAGGTCTCTGTATTCGTCCCTTCAAAAAGTGTGGATGGTCCTGCTCGAGGCCTTCACCACTATAATCAAATCTCATGTGCCGGTGTCGGGCTGTCGGTTTCCTGGAAACTGATCTGCTTGACCCTCATACGTCGAATCTCGACGGGAGAGTCGATTATTATATATATATATATATATATATATATATATTTATTTGGTTGGATAGATGTGAGTTTGTGACCCTGGGTTTCACGCTTTAGCGATCGTCAGACAAACTGATTAATGTTTTAAAAAATTTGGATTTATGTAGATTGCGTGTATTGGTGTTATTGTGGAAGTGGTGGGGGAAATTTCTGCGTTTTGTCATTCATCGTACTAACGCAAACATCGATGTATGCAGACACATATACATACTTGGTCGTCCGTCGGGACTCATACATATATAAACATATGTGGGCAGTTTCGGCTATGACACATGTATATATGTCATAGTGTGTCTTCTTCTTCTTCTTCTTCTTCTTCTTCTTCTTCTTCTTCTTCTTCTTCTTCTTCTTCTTCTTCTTCAAAACATTAATTATTTTAATTTATTCTTAATTAAAATCTGCAGAATTGATTTAAATATGTCAAATTTTAATTTCGTTTAAATGGGGTTTAAATGAGAAAATATATAAACAAAATTGTTGCAGGTTTTCTGATAAATCAAGAAAATATAAGTGAAATTATTCTGTTGTTCAATTATTTTATTTTTATTAGAATTAAAAAGTAATTTACAAAAAATTTAAATACGTGAAGAAAGTTTGTTGCTGAATTAATTTAGTTTTACACCAGCTGTACGTTAAATTGTCGGGAAGATTTGGTTCCCTGGCCGCGGTTAGCAACCAATCAAAAGGTCAACATTGAATTCAAAATCGTAACCAAGGCGACAATATCAAACTATGTTACTCAAATTACATCTTAATTTACACAGATGGTTCCAAGTTCAATAAGAGGACTGGATGTGCAGCCACCTCTAAAAATACAAGCCAAAAAATGGCCATCGAAAAAAGCATTTGTATTTAGCGCTGAATTAAGTGTAATAGACTTAGCTGTAGCTATTATATCAGAGAGCAACTCAAAGTAATTCATCATCATCTCAGATTGACTTATCAGCCCGCCCACTCCTAAGGCTTACGGCCACATCAGACACAAACGACGGTTTCCATACGATCACCGAAGTTAAGCAACGTCGAGCCTGATCAGATACTAGATAGGTATCTGCATGGGAATACCAGGTGCTGTAATCTTGGATCTGCGACTGGTGGAATGGATAATGGTTCGGAATTGTTAATCGCAGAGCCGGCTTCCAATTCCAGTTAGGTTTGTTATTCGCTTACGAGAAAATACAGTTGGGAAAGGTATGAATCCACCTCTCCTATCCCCAGCTATGGGTTGATTAGTAAAACTTGTCACACTAAAATCGTTATTATTTCCCAAAGAAATAAAAATTAAATAAATAAAATTGTATACAAAATATTTAGATTTTAGCATTATATAACCCATATAGGTGTTGATATGCCGCTAAACAAATACAATCAAAACATCCTATCCATAAAAAATAAAAAAACAGGAAAAAACCTTAGGTGTCAAAATATTGAACAGTCTCCAAAAACAATGAACTTCTGCTGGGCTCCAAGTTACCTTGGAATTAAATAAAGCTTAATAAATTAGAATACACCTTCAAGAATTTAAAATACCGTTTACAGACTTTAAACGAAAAATAGACAAATATTTAATTAAAATATGACAACAACAATGGAACAAAAACACCTAAAAGATACTGTATTCAAAACACTGATCTTCGTATCAGCAAAGTTTAATGGACACCAGTACTCGGAAAAAAAAAGGGCAAAGAATAAGCGATCCTGTTCAGACAAGATATTTGACCTAAAAAATCACAAACTTCTACGTGTTAACTCTAGATAACCAATCAGTAGGCACTACTTGCAAGAATCCATATACAGCAAAACATATTTTAGTAAAATGAGTCGATTATACTCCCATGAAAAAATACTACATGCCAGAAAGCTTGAAATAGTTGTTAATTCATAAATTTTTTACAACTTATCAACCCTTTGCAGGTTATTTAAAGCTAGAATTTTTTCCCATTGTATAATTGTTTTTTTTTAGTTAATAATGGTTCAATGATACAAGTCTTACTAATTAACCCATAGCTGGGGGAGAAGAGGTGTATTCCTAATTTATCAGAATTTGATAAACAAACAGGAAATTATATTCTGGATTCAAAATGGGGACTCAGTTACATATTAAAATCAATATATAAACTGATCCCTCACTTTGCAGTTAATATAGTTTCTATACATTTATATTGCAGAGAATGTAAATAAATCTAAAATACCTGCCTGTGTTGCTAATCTGTTTTTGATAATAAATTATAGTGTGCATATAGAGAGGGGGGTAAATTCTATATTACAATCAATATATAAATTGATCCCTCACTTTATGGCCACAAAAGTTTATATATATTTATATTGCAAAGAATGTAAATAAATCTAAAATATCTGTCTGTGTAGCTAATCAGTATCTAATTGGTTCGTTTTCTACGGTTTATCAACCCTTTGCAGCCAGAAGATATTTTTCGATTGTAAGAATTTCTTTAGGGCAGAACTAAAAATGATTTAGTGGTACAAATCTTACTAATTATCTTATAACTGGGGAGAAGAGATATATATATTCATACTTTACCCAAGGGTATTTGCGCGAGAGTATAACAAACACGATTGGAATTGGAACTCAACTCTCCGATTAACAATTCCATACCATTATCCATTATGCCAACCGCACATCCACACCTACAGCATCTGGTATTTCCCAAGCGGTCACCCGTTTAGGTACTGACCAAGCTCGGCGTTACTTAACTGCGTATGGGAATCGCTGTTTCAACGTCATATGTCCATAAGCCTTGAAAGATTAATTACGATCCCAAAGTAGAAGCCATTTTATCCGTCTTGGGAACAATAAACACATGTAAAGAATTAAATTAAATTAAATCCTGGATAAACGATAAACAATTAAAATTTACTTGACTCTCAAATAAACTTGAAATGTCCCCTCCCCATTAAACAAATCATGTTATTTAATAACCTTAAAGTAGTTGAAATGCCATTAAAAATATTATTATTTTATTTTTAAGCGTTTCACAAGGCGAGAAGCCACTAGCACGCAAGGGGTTACAGAGATTTGGAGAGAGAGCAAATAGGAATGATAGAGGAAAGGATGAAGAGAAGGTTAGGGGATAGATCAAGGTATCTGGAGACGTCGATTGACATTACATTTGAATAGTTGGAGATTATAGCTATCTGGGAAACAGGAAAAGGGAGGGAGTTCCACAGGCGAGAAGTCCGAGACATGAAGCTGTTGGAGTAGAAGAGACGGCCACATTTAACAGTTGCAACAGTGAAAGGGTGAGAGCGAGATGGCAGCCTAGTTGAGCGCTTAAATTCATGAAGTCTGGGAACCAGCGAAAGCAGCTCATCGGAGCAGTAACCGTCAGAGTATTTGTAAAAAAGTCAGAGGGGAAGCATACTCCACTGAAACAGCTTCTTTCCGCGAACCCTGTGAAAAAGACTCCCATGAGGATGTTTCCCCGATCACTCCAATCTTAACCCGATCAAGTCTAGAGTTAAGTTATGTTCCCCTTCTATCCATATAAACTACCCCTTAACTTAACCTTTACCTCGAGTAGGTCCTTGTACAGTGTAAACGTTACTGTAAAAAAATTGCTATTTCCCTATGCCTATAGAAAGGATATTCGGCTAGTGTAGATGCTCCTGATATATATCTCTGGTCTGGTGCACCTGTTATATTTCTCGAGGTTCTTGATAAAAGCTAAAGAAAGGGGGGTGTAATGTTATTGATCTTTGATCTAGGATCTCGGTTTCAGTCGCTTTCCAATCGCCTGTAAAGTATCTGCACTTCGACTCTTTTATAAATATCTTTTTATGACAATTCTTCTAATGTGCTTTTCACTTTGGTACTTTGACTTCACGAATTTAAACGTAGTAATAGATTGACAACAAGGTTTCATAATGTTACTCTCGAATTTCTAGCCTCGCTTCCGGCTTTTTTCTTTTCTGTCAACTTCGATCTTCAAGAATTTAAATGCAACGTCAATCGTCATCTCTTTCTGAGTCCTCTTCTCATATTGTCATTTCTCCTCCCTAACTTTTTTCTATTTTCTTTCATTCTCAGTAACGTCTTGCGTGTCAGTGGCATTATCGCTTTGCTTAAATGATTTTGAAATAATACAAATATTGTCTGCAGCATGGATGACATTAAAATTTAAATATTTTCTGTGATCTTGTATTAAAAAAGAAGTACTAGTTTAGTAACGAATAATTAAAAGAACTACAAGTCATCAGATATAAATATGGACTTAATTTTCGATTCTATCAAAGATAAGCATTTAATATTTTTTCAGACCGCTTGATTAATTTCATTAAAAAAAAAACAATTACAAGCCCATATCCGTGGATATCTTATTACAGAGATAAAGAAATATGTTCGAACAAAGTTTAAATAGAAGGCATCACGAAAGCCATAGTTCTTGGAGAATTTCAGGATTCACTCGACTTGCCAAAGTTTTACGGTGATTAAATATTCAATTTGAAGCATTTGTGGTTACACTCCGATAAACAGATCTTTAAATGCAACGGACCGTGGAGAGAAACCATTTGAAATACAAAAAAAAAAGAAGGGATTTGGCTTTGATAAAGAATCCGACATGAAAAAGGATATTATCTCTCTTACGCGTACACTTAAGTTTGCAATAGAAAAGTAGGTTTGAACGAAAGAGCAAGTTGGAATAAAAGGATACGCTGGAATAAAAGGGTAGGTTGGAATAAAAAGAGTAGGTTGGAATAGAAGGGAACTTCGAAATAAAACGATAGGCTGGAATCATAGGATTCCTTGTAAAAATAGTAGGTTGAAATAAAAGGGTAGATTGTATTAAAAAGGGTAGGCTGTAATAAAAGGCTAGGTTGAAATAAAAGGGTAGGGTGGATGAAAAAGGCTGTAATAAAAGGGTAGGTTGAAATAAAAAGGTAGGTTGTATTGAAAGAGTAGGTTGGAATAAAAGGGTAGGGCGGATGAAAAAGGCTGTAATAAAAGGGTAGGTTGAAATAAAAAGGTAGGTTGTATTGAAAGGATAGGTTGGAATAAAAGGTTAGGTTGGATGAAAAAGGCTGTAATAAAAGGGTAGGTTGAAATAAAAAGGTAGGTTGTATTGAAAGGGCAGGTTGGAATAAAAGGTTAGGGTGGATGAAAAAGGCTGTAATAAAAGGGTGGGTTGAAATAAAAAGGTAGGTTGTATTGAAAGGGCAGGTTGGAATAAAAGGGGAGGGCGGATGAAAAAAGGCTGTAATAAAAGGGTAGGTTGAAATAAAAAGGTAGGTTGTATTGAAACGGTAGGTTGGAATAAAATGGTAGCTGGATTAAAAAGGATAGGTTTGAATGAAAGAGTAGGCTGAAATAAAAAGAACTAGGTTGTATTGAAAGGGTAGGTTGGAATAAAAGGGTAGGGTGGAAAACTAATGCGCATTCACTTTTTGCGCAAGGAAAAAAGAGGAAGGACAGGGTGCAATGAAAAGAAAGGTCGCTATGAGTTGAACATAAGAACAATGGGGAAAAAGTGGGTCGCTAAGGAATGGTGCTTTCAGTCGCACTGAACTGTTGGCTTCTCAATCAATGTTCTCATGTAATAAAACTCTCCTTCATTCAACCTTTTGTTACCAGTGTTTTCATTAGACTTTTACTAATCAGAAACTATAAGCGTTATATGAACTTTATAACAAAACTGAGAATAAAACACTCGCATTCAACTAGAATACAGACGGTACTTCGACGTCATTTTACGGGATTAAATTGTATGAGTAGGCGCCCACATTTTTTTTAAACAATGTGAATTACATCTATCGAATACGGAAGCAGGAAGACGCAATTGAAACTATATATTCCATAAAATGAGGTTTGGAGAAAAGAGAAAGACTTCTTTTTTTTGTTAATGAACTTAAGATTTTATATAAAAGGAATACTGTACATTTAAAGTATTCTAAAAAGAATGAACAGATTATCTTTTTAAAGTTTGAAATTCGGGGACAGAGACGCTGTAATGAATCCGTCCAGCTTGATGAACTGGTTTGTTTGCTGCGCATTTTTTACGGATTAACATCTTTTTCTTTCTGAATATTGGCAACAATTCTCTTGACTAAAGCCAAATAATTTTA